TCTCTCTCTCTCTCTCTCTCTCTCTCTCTCTCTCTCTCTCTCTCTCTCTCTCTCTCTAACCTAGGGGCATATCCACGACTATCACTAAGTTTTCGTCTAAAGAGAAACATCGGTTACTTCATTTTGCAGACCTACATGCCTTCCACACTGATTACAATTCTGTCCTGGGTGTCGTTTTGGATCAACTATGATGCATCTGCAGCCAGAGTCGCACTAGGTAATGCATTCTCACTTTTCCTCGGCTAGTAAATCAGATCTTCGAACAAAGAGGCAATATTCAGGATCAAAAGCAAGACGTCTCATTATAGCAAGTAAATGAATTAGGCTGCAATGGGATGCTTAAAAATAAAATATCCAAAATGAAGTGTAAGGATACTTATAATGAATGCAATATCTCTTAGCACTTAACAAAAAAAATTTGAATATGTTTCCCATTGTATGAGTGGTTTTGTAGATTTCTTGATAGAATCTCATTACATTCTATTTTTCCCAAATTTGTGATGACTTCCTCTTTGTTCCTTGCTTTTGACTGTGGAAACACTTGTAACTCGTTATTTTAAAATAAACATGGTGAGTGCTAGAACTTGTGACTGTTAGCAAGCTCCATCAATTGTCAAGAAACACTACCCTTTGATTAACTAAAGTTAGAACATATCAAACTGAGTCTCTCCTTCAAACATGACTCATTATGTTCAATAAGGCACAAACAATTCATCAGTTATATTAATGATCTGTGATCAAGACAGAATAAAAAATGCTTTCTCATTTGTTGAAACAAAATTCAGAATTAATCTTACCATGGTTGAGTAATTGCTGAAAACTGAAAAGCTGTATTTGAGATTGTAAATGGTCTTTTGGAAGGTTACAATGTGTAAAATATGTCTGATGATCTATCCATGTGCAGTTCTGCTTCATTACTTAATATTCAGAAACATATTAGATATCACTCCAGTTTCAGAGCGACAAGGGAAAGGAGGGAAACATCACATCTGGCTAAGACAACATATTACATCTCTTCTCTTTTGAAATTATTAAGTTGGATTAATTGCCCAGTGTATCCCTTCACACATAGACTAATTGGCATATGACCAGCCCTCTTCTATTGACTGAGTACATAAGCCTTGCACACTCAAGTGATTGCAGCTTCATCAGCCTGAGGATATTCTAAGTATGAAGAACATGAACAAATAGCTTTTCATGTTGTATATGGATCTTCAACATTCTGGTGAATGTGAATATAACCCTGTGCATATGGTACGATTAAAGACTCTGGATGATAGCCAATCTACATCAAGGAAAACTCTGACAAGTTTGTCCACTGTGGTTCTCTGTACATGCCTATTCTCAAAGCAAATGACATTTACATTAAAGGCAAGAAAGGGGCTAGAGAGACAGCACAGTAATTAAACATTTGTACTGCTCTTGTAGAAGACATGAGCTCAGCACCCATGTTGGGTGGCTCATCTGGGTGGCTGCTCCAGATCTAGGGGATCTGATGCCCTCTCTGGCCTCTGTGAGCTCTTGCACTCATGAAGGCACTTAATTTTTAAGAAGCCAAACATATATGAGAAATGTCTGGCATATAATGATATTTTCATCTTTAAAATATAGAACTAAGATACTGTTTTTATTGGTTATTTTATTTACACTTCAAATGTTATCCCCTTTCCAAGTTTCCCCTTTACAAACCCCCATCCCCACCCCACCCCCTGCCTCTATGAGGATGCTCCTCCCACCTGCCCGCCCACTCCTGCCTTTTTAAAACATTTATTTACTATTTTCTAATTTAAAATAAAGAAAACTAAAAGCATAAATTTAGTGGCTATACAAATAGAATAGCTATTTCTGTAAATCACATTAACTAGTACTATGTGAGAAGAACTTTAAAGATTTATTCCAATAAACAAGTAAGCTCACTTATAAGGGAGTTCCGATCAATCCAAAACATTTGAAGTAATCAATGTTCTGAACCCATTTTGCTTTTTTAAAATAATATCTTTACTTATTCTTTGGAAATGTCTTGCATGTATACAAAGTATTTTGATCATGTCACCTCACTATTTCCCTAACTCTCCCCAGGAACCTCCAACCCCTTTTCTCTTCTGACTTTATTGTTTATTATTATTATTATCATTATTATTGTTGTTATTATTATTGATAAGAAACTATGGTACCTATGTACAGTGGAACAAAATTCAACTATAAAGAAAAAGTAGATCCTGAAAATTGCAGGTAAATGGGAGGAAGTGGATAAAAGTTCTACTTTGCCCATTGATGGTACTGGTGATGATCAGGGAGTCTACAGTCTTGAGTCCTCACTTGCCAGATGTTTGAAGCCCCCCTTTCCCCTTCTTTTATTTCCTCCATACCATTGTCTTCTCCTCCTTTTATAATCCCCATCAATAACTCTCATCTTACTTTAGATATTACCATCAAATCTTGTGGTTTATTTTAAATGCTGTAGTCAAACATCTTGCTTTTTTTTTTTAACCTATAGCTGGGTGACCTACATAAAGGTGACTAATCTCAGAGTTTTGTATGGCTAGTTGGTTGGTTGGTTGGTTAGTTGGTTGGTTGGTTGGTTGGTTGATGTTTGGTTAGTTGGTTGATGTTTGGTTGGTTGGTTGGTTGGTTGGTTGGTTGGTTGATTAGTTGGTTAGCAGGTTGGTTTTGTTTTTTTGAGACAGAGTCTCATGTTACTCAGGCCATCCTCAAACTTGCTGTGCATCCAAGGCTGGTCTTAAGCTCCTGAGCCTCCTGTTTTTGTTTTCTAACTCAGAGATTACAGACCTGCCACCATCAGCTCCAGAGCTTTCTCTATCCACCTAAATTAAAAACAACAGAGATAATCTCCTCATCATATTCAGTAAACTGTTGTCATACACTGTACAAATGTAGAGTACTGAGCTTAGTCTCAACACAAACTGTATACACTAAATTTAGCTTCGCTTTGTATTTCTTTTTTCCCAATAATTATTCCATCATCACCATCATCAATGCGTTACACTTGGTACAGTGACACACAAGCATTATACTATTAACACTGTTTGGATTAGGCAGAGCAGATGAAACATAACCAGCACTGAGTTTGTAGGTATTAACTTCTTTATCAACTCTACAGAATGATCTTTAATAAACCTTTTCCTGGCACTAGGAAATGAATTTGTTACAGGCTCTGGAAACAATAAAACCAAGGAAATATTTCAACAGCTAACACAATGTAACAAAGATCACGATGAATATAGAGAATATCTAATGTAAACACAAACTTTATTAAATGTCGATTCTATTGGCAATGCCACACATGGGTGACAAGTGACCAGGAACTGTAAAATGAAACTGTGAATTGAAGTTTGGTATAGACCCGTGAGATTAAGTCAGTTACCCCAATCCAGTCACGGACGTTGAGCCCAGCTGTGACTGCTGTGGAGATCAGGGTCACAAAGAGAGATTCCAGAGGGAAATGACTGTGAAATGGCGAAAGGGGAAAGGAAGGCTGTGGGGTGTGACTGCACAGCAGAGTGAGAGAGAGTAGGCAGAGGGATCCCAGGAACTTTATAAACTCTGTGTGTGTGTGTGTGTGTGTGTGTGTGTGTGTGTGTGTGTGTGTTCAGACAATAGCTTTCTGAGTTGGTCCTCATCTCTCACTTCATAGATACAGATATAGACATATAGATGATATAGGTACATATAGATATAGATGAAGCGCATATATGTGTATATATATATATATATGTATGTATGTATATATATATATATATATGCTTATTTTTAAAATGTCATCAGCCCTCCATTATCTGTGCATTCTATGTCATGTCTTAGTAATAGAATCTAGAGAAAGCCTGTCTTTGGGAATGCGTGCATCTTGGTCCAGTGGTTTCTTCTGCTCCTAACATCATGGCAGTATAGCATTAAGGAGCAGCGTTTATCTTCTTGGCTTTGGAAAGCACAGCTTCACAAAGGTGCCTCCAGCTAAGCTTCGGTGTTCTGTCCACAGGAATCACCACGGTGCTGACAATGACAACCATCAGCACTCACCTCAGGGAGACTCTGCCAAAGATCCCTTACGTCAAAGCGATTGATATCTATCTCATGGGCTGCTTTGTGTTCGTGTTCCTGGCTCTACTGGAATACGCTTTTGTAAATTACATTTTCTTTGGAAAAGGCCCTCAGAAAAAGGGAGCGAGCAAACAAGACCAGAGTGCCAATGAAAAGAACAAACTGGAAATGAACAAAGTCCAGGTAATGCATTGTATATTGCTAATATCATCTCTATTATCTTTATCAATGATGGGGTGTTCAGGAATATTTTAACAAGAAAACATGCTTATGAACCATTACTTGTTGTTATTAAGGCCAAACCACCTCCTCAGTTTACAGATTTGAGAATATTTGACAAAAAAAACTTAGACTGAAAACTATATAAATTAATAACATGTATTAGTTTGCATGATTGTAACAAAATAGCTGAAGCAGGCTGATCTTATAAAGAAAGGAAGTTTGTTTAGTACACAGTTTTGGAGACTTTAAGTCTGAACAGCATGCTACTGACTTTGCCTTTATGGTTGTTGGTAAACTATATATAGGGCAAATATGACACAAAGCAGAAATCCAGACAGAAATCTGGGGTTTTCTGAACCCCTTCCTAGAACAGCATGTACAATTAGCTAGCCACTTCTCACTAAGCTATAACTCTTGAAGATCTACCTCCCAACACTGTCACGCTGGGAATGCAGTTTCCAACACATGAAAACATAGGGAATACACATAGCCCATACCTCAGCCGTAGTGTGTACCAGTGGCTGAGGTCAGCCTCAAGTCTGTTAAGATTCACACTAAGTTGTTTGTAAAACTACATGTGGAAAAATTTTGAGCTCTGCTCGGTAAACAAAGAGGAGTGTTAGCTGACTTAACCCTCAGTAGAACTAAAGATATTCATAGTGTGATTAAGCCACAAGCTCAGATTCAACCATGAAAGCAGTTGGATGGGGAATTTACAAGCGCTTCTCCCAGAAAAAAAAAAAATGTGCCGCCAAAATTAATACAAAGTGTTCTAAATTAAGGCAAAAGTAGTTTGTACCAAATTCCCTTATAGACTGGAGTCATGAAAACCAGCAGTTTTTTAATTCTGCTTAAAGACTTTTAGTGACTGAAAAGAACCAAAAGACAGGAAAGCACTGACCTTGGAATAAAGAGTGAATTATACTTTGAGAACCGCAGGCAGTGAGGCACACAGCTTTCCCCAGCAGCACTGGGAAACTGCAGATTTGTTGTCTGGATGAGTCAACGCATAGATGCTATTACTTCCGGAGTACCTGAAATTTCAGGAAGAATACAATAGCTGATGCTCAAACTCTGAGTATAAACTTCCTTTGTCCAGAAAAGAGGCCAAGAAGCCAAGATGGCCATTTGATGGTTAGTATTGAGGAAATATTTAGTTTGGTTTAGCCTTTGATGTGCCTATGAGGAATTATCTCAGGTTAATTGAGGTTAGGTTAATGGAAAACTTGTCCTACAGAGAATAGCACCATTTTCTGGACTTAGGTCCTGGATTGCATTTTTCTTAAAAAGCGTCTAGTTGAGAGAGGGAATCCATTGCTCTCTAGCTCCTGACTGTGAATGAACTAGGACAGCAAGCTTGTATCTCAGAGACTTATTGACTGTGATGGACAATACTCTTAAATTGTAAAGCAAAGTAAACTCTTTCTCACTTAAGTTTCTTTCTTAAGTTCTTTACAGCAACAGAAAATGTTGCTAAGGCAGTCACAAAAGGAAATACGACTAAAGACTCAGAGGAAAAAACAAAAGCAAAATCAGGTTTCAACTGTTTTCCACAATGTAGAATTCAGCATCTGGACTTAGAGTTTGTTTCTAACCCATTCATGTAGGAAATGTATTGAGTTTTCCATTAAATTCCCAAAAATTGCCAGTCAGTGGTGGTGCACGCCTTTAATCCCAGCACTTGGGAGGCAGAGGTGAATTTCTGAGTTCGAGGCCTGCCTGGTCTACAGAGTGAGTTCCAGGACAGCCAGGGCTACACAGAGAAACCCTGTCTCAAAAAACCAAAAAAAAAAAAATCCCCAAAATTTAGAAATAAAGTTTATGTCATAAGAATAAGGAAAAGCCCTGAAGTAGGCCCAGTCTACAGTGCATAAAACCAATTTTCCAGCTATTCTGAGTAATATGTTAGTGATTAAAGTTCCTAAAAAAATCAAAAGACAAAATTCTCCAGGGATGATAAAACATCCGAGAGTCTCTCTAATACATCATTCCAAATATCTGGACTACAGTAAAATATTAACATACCTGAGCAGAACCAGGAAAATAATATCATGACCAAGAGCATTGTAGCTTTAAGAATCTTAAATGTTAACCTGAAAATTTAGCACTATAGAATAACTATAATTAATATATTTTAAGGTCTGTAGGAAGCAGAAATACCAGTCTAGAAACCAAAAGCAGCAAAATATTCTGAAATAGAAGAGCGATTAGACAAGGTATAGTACATTCATACCATAAAATACTATTTCAGTTAGGGTTTCTATTGCTATAACAAAACACCATGACCAAAAGCATCTTGGGCAGAAAGGGGCTCATTTCAGCTTACATGTTCCAATTGAAACCATGAAATAGAATGGATGTAAGTCACGGGCTTGAACATGTCATTCGATGGACTAATAGTGCAGTCTGTGCAGTAGAAGGGATTAGTTCCAGTTCCATCACTCCGCTCCTTTCTGAACTCACGGCCCTTTGGAGATGCCTGCACTGGAAACACAATTCTGCAGGTACTTACTTCCTCTGTTCACAGTTCCCATGGAATCATACACTTCTGCTGTGGGACTCCCATGATAGCATGTGTTCATGTAGTTGTTCTTTAGAATTTTTCTCTTATTAGGCTATAATTGACAACAAGAGGCAACAGGACCTTTGTCTAGTGTGTTTACTACTCTTTCCCCATTGACTACAATGGGATAGAACTGAAAGAAGCATGCCTTAAGAAAATGAATGAATACCAGAGAGACCTTCTCCATTAAAGTTTTTAGAGCCCATTCAAATTAGTGAATGACATGTCATTATGCTTTATAAATCCTCACGTCTTCATATGAAATGAGAAGAGGAGACAGTAGCTTCTGGCCAACACTGTCTTACTGTTCCTATTTTTTAAATTTGGGGTGTGTGTGTGTGCGTGTGTGTGTGTCTGTTGCTAGGGAATGAACTCAGGGCCTTTTACACGTTAGGCAGTGGACTCTCTGGTTAATAATGTTTTTATTAAACATGTTATGTGAAGCTCTAGTATTGGTTCTAAATTATCATGCCATATGCTATTGAAAATAACCTTCAAAGGTGATTAGGGCTGAGATTTTACTGACTTCTTCATATGTAGATGGAATAATAATTGAACAGTGTCCTAATTAGGGTTACTATTTCTAGGATGAAACATCATGATCTAAAGTAACTTGAGAAGGAAAGTAATCTTTGGACTAAACAGCAGCATTCATCATCCAAGGAAATAAGGGCAGGAACTCAAGCAGGACAGAAATCTGGAGGAAGGAGCTGATGCAGAGGCCAGGGTACTGCTTACTGGCTTCTTTCCCCTGGTTTGCTCCACCTGCTTTTTTATAGAACCTGGGCCCATCTGCCCAGGGAAGGCACCACCAGCAATGGGCTGGCCCTCTCCATTGATCACGAATTAAGAAAATACCCTACAGGCTTTTATGGAGGCATTTCCTTAATTGAAGTTTCCTCCCCTTAGATGACGTTAGCTTGTATCAAGTTGACAGAAAACTATCCGGCACACAGTGTCACCATCTCATGCAATGTAAAATGATCTTGCAAATGCATGGATTTGATAAACCCTGACCTCGTCATCTTCTGAGCCAGGAGTTCGGAGAGCTAATGTGTCTAATAAGAAGTTCCATCTGCTTAGCATATCAACTCCAGAAGTCAGATAATGTCAACTTTGCCATTTCAAAAACTGCTACCCTTTGGTTAAATTCAAGTTTATAGAAATTATTATATTTCCCCTTAATATTCTGGCTGGCTAATCTTATTCTTTCCTATGAGATGCTTGTAAAAAGTCGAACATAATTGATATGTGTCTAGTCTCCTAGACTTTTCATTTGAAAAGGCTCTAGGATTTGCCTTGGTGTCCTGGAAGGTGGAGTGACATTGTTCATCACTGTACATTACTTTTGATGGCCTCCGCTGGCCAGATAGGTCAAGGGACCGATACTTTGGAAGTTCAGGCCCAGTATTGATTTATACTTCCACCAGATGTACTGAAGCATTTTTTTATATGAGTGCAGATGCCGAATCCAGACATTACGAGAGTTTCAGTCTCCAAGGTGATAAAGACTGCAGATTCATGAACCCCTTGGGCACCATTTGAAGCTGCGGATGGTATTTAGAATTTTGAAAGACAGATTTCACAGCAAAACAAGACTTTAAGCAAGCTGCCTCTGGGATACTTTTGTACTAACCTAGAACTTTTTTAGTTGTATATACTGGCCACAGTGTCTGCTGTGTGCAAATAAATAAAATGAATGGAATAAATGCAGGGGTGGTCAGTGACCAGAGACTATGGAAAGTCATTGTAAATCAGGAAGAACACTGGGAGAATCTATGAAAGAATCATAGCAAATTGAAGTTGCAACCCCAAAGGTTAGGATGGAGAACTTTTCTTTCTGTAATGAGATATAAGTTCTGTGATGCAGTCTCTCCTCCTGCATTTCTGTTCTCTGTGGTAAGTCATCCAAACACTGCTGGTCAATTTTCTGTTTGTGCAGTAAGCTGTGTGCTGTGTTGGACTCCAGAATGCATGGTGCAATGCAAAGATGAGTATTCCAGAGGTGCGCAGCTCACACTGAAATCAGGAACATACTGCTGGCCTCAGATCCTGGACCTCAGTGTTCCAGCATTTCCCTTCAAGGTAGCTGGAGCACGGACTCTATCTTTTGGTGAAACTGATTGCTTTGATTTAGCAGCTGGAACTCTACAGATTCCACTGACAAGCCTGTGACGTTTCCTCGTGAACTTTAAACATCATACTTTTGTCTAAACCTAGCTTGAGTCACTATTTTGATTCATGAACCTGTAGGTAGCCTCCCACTTCAACTCTTAGTTCCCGTTTCCTCTAAATTGGCATTATTTTCAGTAGCTCTTTCTCTCACAATAACCCCAAAAGCTCTAGCTTTATCGTGTCAAGATCTATAATCCCAGCCCAGCCTGTAAGTACTTTCTTT